CATTAAAAATTTATCAATAATGTGCAGTGAGACTAAGAACAATCGTGCAGCTGTGTCTGTGCATTTTACTTGTATCTGCTCCAGTCTGTTAGACACAATAAATGAAAGACTTGTTGAACAAATTAAACATCTCAAGGGAAACTTCCTGGAGCACAAAGAATAATGAAACACAATAAAGAGGCTGCTTTCATAATATCCCCGCTATATTCAAAAAGACCTACTGCTGATAAATGGGCACTGCAGGGAAATATCAATATGTGAGCTTTATATGTTTTCATTCACTACTACTACATGCCGTAAGCATGTTTCTTTTTCAATTTGGCTGATTTAACCTCTTTCTTATTAAGCCTGAAGGAGCTTGTTTCCAAATGTTGTTCCTTTGGCTATAATATTGAACAGTACAACATAAAACACACCCTTCTCAATAGAGGATGTTCCAGTATATGGTTTTAACTTTCTATTTCCATTAGTACTACAACAATCTAAACATAGTAAACTTCACAAGACAGTAAGCAGCAGCTTGAAATGACATTCAGCACTTCAGCCCATATTGGCACTGGGATCCAACATCAGTCTGCAAAAAGCCTAGCATGTGTGTTTCCACTGAGGCAAGAAACCTCTATAGTAGTGCAAAATTGTATGGTGCATAGCAAAAATATACATTTATCCATTTTTATCTTTTTTGATGGAGGGTCTGTCAAATGCTTTTCGCCATGGAGATGTTATTGCTTGTCTGGAATGGTTCACAGTATGGTATTAAACCTTTCTATATTTGTGGAGACCAAACCAGAACAAGTTACAAGTCATATCTGTGGAGAGGCGACCCTGCTCGCACTCCGAATCAAAATGCCTGTTTTTTTCTAGGTATTTTGAGTTATAATTGAATAAATGTAAGGTAGAGCTGCTGTAATGTCATACTATGGAAGCTTCCAAGCAGAGCAATGACATATTTATAGAAACAAGCAGGTGATGGACCTTCCACCAGAAAAGTTACGCAATGCACTTTTAAATGAATAATTATCAAATCACCAATTTCACTTTTCAAAATCTCCAGCTTATTCCCAGCTCCTCACAATTCCAGGGAAAAAGGAGTCTGTGTGTTCTCCCTCTTCTAACTCACTTGACATCAGCTCAAACTTTAAGTGTGCAGCAATCCTAGAGGGACACCAAACCAGAACGGTGCTTAACCCTGAGAGGCCACAGCATTTCCCCACTGCGATTTACCTGCTCCACTTCGCTCCACTCCCTCTGCTCACAGCCTCACACCCAATGCACTACAGAAAATTATGTGCTTTTATATCCTCGAAGGAAATCTTACTACGTTTAGGGCTTCGAGCATGCCAACTGGTGTTCTCTCGGGTCGTACTTTCTCCAATTGATATTCTTTAGCTGCGGCACTGTGGTTGTCAGGGGGGAAGTGAAGCATATCCCAGCATGCCTCCAGTTGAAGGCATGGCAGACACTGGACAGGCTGCCAGTCCATCACTTTGAGATCTGCAAAAGGAAAGAAGTTGCATATGAAAGTGTGGAAGAATAGCCTACAGCAGTAGCATTATAGTGTGAATATTGTAAGTTGGAGTAACATATATTTAAAGCCTAAGGTTTTCACCCCCACCACCCCTCTACTTGAACTTTTACAATATTTGTGTTTTAATTAAATTAGTTGGTTGTTTTGCTGAACACATTAAAAAGGTATAATACCATTTTATGCATTTTGTAGTAGTACCATTGTGGGATAAGATCTAAAATACCAACTTTCTCCACAAGATGTCACTAAATGAACAAATAAGTGTATTCTGTGACCTTAGTGGCAAAATGTATAGGCGCACTTGCTATAGATGGCTCATTATCCTCTGCAGCTCATTCCCTGTTGCTGGGTAGTGTGTTGGCTTCAGACTATATTAATAGGCTAATTGCTCTTGCACAATATATTTCACAGTAATGGAAGACTAAAAATGTAACCAATAGCCTGTGACTAAAAGGGCAGAGAAAGACAGATGCACAAAAGCTAGACTGAGTGAGCACAGAAACAATGGTTTTGGGAGCTTTAATCCAGTGAAATGAGGCATTAACCAAAATGCAACTATACATCCAGATGTTACAATCCAGCTGCTCCTCTCTGCTTGGCAATAATGCTAACAGCATAAAACCATTGGACACGTGTTTGGATCAGGGAACAGGCAGAGAACATTAACTGAATCAGGGTCAAATTATAATGGACAATCTCACGGAGGACGCAACCTTATTGAATATTTATGGCAGAAAGATACAGCCATTTGGTTAGAGTCTAATACCAGCAGACAGCTTTAGAAATAAATATATCTACAAGATGTGTTGGCCCAGTGCCCATCAGAGGGATCAATAACTATTAACACAGGCTCACATGCAGACAGAGGACAGCAGGGATGTGTGGCCAAGTCTACGTGCACCATTTTATTACATGACAGGAGGCGGATTGGAGCTTAGTCACAGCACCAGGCCTCCTCATAGCAGCTCCTTATTTTCATCTGTGCTCATAGCGATGCATTCAGACTGACAATGTCATCAGTGTGGTGTATGTAAACACATCCAAAGGCTCGCACAAAACTAGGTCATTTAGCCACTGGGATGGAGAGGCAGCGTCTGGCAGAAGGACAGGGCTGAATCTGAGCTGGTGTGTCAAATGTAAGAGCTGTAATCTAGGTACCTCTCACTTATCTACTTCTCCAATACAGCTAAACGCGCCTGGAGTGGAGCTCAACCCCTCAGGGAAACCCAGAAAAGAGAAAGAGAGAGGAGAGGAACACTGTCATTTACTGCTCTGTTAGTCTTTGAGAACAGATTGTTTATTAAACCCAACATCAGAGGGTTCATTTTGTTATTCATAAACAAATACACTCAAGGATTACAAGAGAATTCATTTCTGGAGTTTATTCAGTTCAGGCTATGTACTTAAGTGCCTTTGATGAAATGTGTGAATTCAATAAGAAATGAAAGTGAAATGACATTGGTGGTTAATAAATTATATTTATTTCAGTTTAAAGATGCTCTAGCAACAATACTGAGTACATTTTGGTAAAAAATTTTGCCTGTTACCTACAGATTATACAGGGATAAATAGGTTTTTCTGTTGTAAAAAGTGACGCTTTTTGAAAGTGTTCTTACTTAATGTATTATTTCTAAAAGTGTGAGGTAAATTACTCTTCACTTCAAGACACTGTAATCCAGTTCAAATTATCATTTTAAAAGAATTTGATGAAAACATAATTTTCTAAAGGCATTCTAGTAATAGTAATATATGAATCATAATGAAAAAAATCTATTTAAATTAGCTTTACAGATACCCACTTTGTACTGTGTGAATATAACTCCATCTGCAGCAAAGATTATTTCAATTTGTGTAAAAAACAGTCCAAATATAAATTGGCCTTGATTTCTATTTCACATAAATAGGATTTTATCAAAGTAAGAAGATGTATTTAAATGTAATATTCTCCTGAAAAATGCGAAACATACTGCCATTGCCAATACAAAAATGTCAGTGCATGGAGATTTGGTGACATTTGGTTAGCCAGCTTTATCAGTGAAAATTCCAAGGGGAAAAAAAATAAATAATGTTTGGATGTTTTTTTAAACTTTCACCTTAAAAATGCAAAAGGATTTGATATTCGTTACAAATGCTTATTTTTTTGGTACTTCAGCACTTTGGATACTTTTTATCCAAAAGTCAAGTTCTTCTTTTTCTTCGAGCCATCTATAACCTTATACATTTTGAAAAGGAAAGAATGATGCAAATGGTGGTATCAAAAGGACTTGACAATAAGCAGCTGCTGTGAAAAGCTTTTGAAATGTCACAAAAAGCTATTAATAGAGCCAAACAACACACCACAAATCAAAAATAACTATAGATGACACATTAAAGGCAACACAAACCAGACAAAACTCACAAATGTTCAAAAATAAAATCAAAGCATTAATACAACTGACAGACAGGTATTAAAAGTTCACAGGACCACATTCAAATATGGATTTAGTTGCCCCACTGCAGGGTACTATTAATCCATATAATGAGAATACAATGAGGATTTAATACACAGGACCAGCTCACCTGATGATTACACAAACCTTTTTCTGTTCCCACTGACAACACAAAGCAGACATTGTGGGCACCATATGCTCCATCAGACCACAAACCAGCCCAGAGCAGGTGGACAGGCGCAGGGTGACAGGAGCAGCTGTCGTGAGGCCAGGGAAGGACTGTGGAGGGAAGAGAACCGGGATCCAGTTAGCTTTAGACAGTATTTATATGATTTAAGAGATTACAAAAAAAATACAGAATATTAACAAAGCAAAAAAATGATTTTGTTATCTTTTGCTGGAGTATGTATTATATGTGCAGGCTTAGTTGTGGTCATATCAATTCAGTCACCATTTTGAACATAGAATTAATCGATTTAATACTGATGGCCTTGGAAATGTAACCGAACATCTTGGTAAGTTAACAAATTTAAAACGATAAAAACCCAAATCTTGTTTTTCCTCATACTCTGCAGCCCTATGTGTGTTTAAATCATACTAAATTTAACTAACTTCTCCCTCTTGGTTCAGTGATTTAACTAAAGTTACAAAACAAGGCCAGAGCAGGCCAACACTCCTCTAGGGCACATTGTATAGATTAATGGTTGCACTGGCTCAAAGCATTTCACTCTAATTGACAACAATGACTGCAGTGTTGTTTACCTCAGCCCAACACTGAGTCCACCGTGATCAAACTGATGTGTACATTTTACAGGTTGTTTCTTGTCCAGAGGCACTTTAAGACAAGGAACACAAATCTTGTTTTTAATGCTTGGGCAGGGATTAAGAATACGGCTCACACCAGTCACAAACATAAAACTACTTACCGACTAATTCTGTATGGCCTTTGGAGGAAGCATTTGGAAAACAACTTTATGATCTTCTCATGGGATTTAAGAATTGACCTAAATCGCTGAAATCATGAATGAAAACTACATTATAAGTTACTTTCAAAATCGTCTTTATTAAATTTAGAAAACACCATCATGTTAACAGTTTCATAGCAACAGCGGGAAATAAAATGAAACTGTCCAAGAGAAGTGGGGCCTGTGCCAAGCCCTGAGTTAAAAACCAGTTTGTGTTGTGATGCCAACTCATCCCTATATGCTGTAGCTCTCTGAATTCACCTGCTCGACTCTGGCATAGCTCTACAGACAGAGAGACAGTGACAGTGCAGGAGTCAACATCACAGCTCTAAAAGAAATAAGAAAACTTAGTAGACATCAGGTAGAAAAGTTGATTTGCAAAGTCACTTTTCAAGTCAAGGTGTTTCCTGCCAAAGAATACAGAGTATACCGAATATGCAACATTAACACGTAATTAGGTTGCCAAACTGTATCGGTATGAACTTGAGGGGTCGGGGGAGAAGTTTCTGCACAACTTTGAGGAGAAGGGCTAGGGAAACATAGCAGTACAGATGTAGTCCAAGAGGAAGTGCAAACAAAGTCTATAGGGGTTTGTCTGAGGGCTGGGTGGGTGTAGCTTTATGGCCGCCCAGCCATTACGTGTCAAGGCGCCGACAGTGGTGACTCTCTGGATGGGGAACCCGACAGGTCGTCAGGGGGGAACACTGTGAGCGTGCAGGCCCGGATACCCCCCAGGGACTCTGGTAAGTCAAAGACTTTGTGCCACTCGTCTTTTTCTGGGTCGTACTTCTGCACTATTTCTACCATACAGCGATTGTTCCACGAGTACCCGCCCACCACGTAAATCTTATTCTCAAACACAGCCACGCCCACATCGCTCTGGCCACGCAGCATGGCAGCAATAGGCGTCCATAAGTCCAGAGCTGGGGAGTAGTACTCGCAGCTGAGCACGTCATCATAGTCACTGGTGCCCCTGAAGTGGTTTCCTCCAATCACATAGAGACGGTCGCCCACCGTGCACATGCAGTGCAAGCCGCGCACCGTCGTCATGGGCGCCTTCTGAGTCCATTTGTCTGCGTCCGGGTCGAAGCACATCAGCTCCTTCTGGAAAGTGTCGTGAGTGATTCCCCCTGCAACAGGAAAATAAGAGAAATTACACTCCTTATCCTTAAGATACAGATTAAGGCCACTTTTTTTACTATATAAAAACAGACGTACTATTTGTTTGAGTGTTTTGAGTATGCCCCAATGTTAAGAGCATTCACTCCTTGAGTTCAGGCTTGGAAACTAAATCAAAAGGATCACTATAAATTTCATGTTATCCAGACCACAGACGGTGCTTTTGGAGTATTATGATAATATTACACATAAATATTTATCATATTTTGGCATCAGTTCTCTTTTCAAAGGGCTAACCACACTGTTGTAGAGAATTGCGTTACAAACTGAAGCATCATTTTTCCTTCAGTCTCTTTGTGCAGGGTGAGATAATGCCGATGATGAGCAGTTACTAAAAAGAGGCACACATTACAGAGTGTCTATGAGCACAGGAAGATTTTTAGACAACACAAAAACGCTATGCCAAAGTGAGGAGGGAAACGAGAAAAATACAGGACATGTCTACAGGGAAGGCTTAAAATAAAGAGGAACGCAATCCCAGCATGCACTGGGGTTGGATTCAGCCCCCCCTCTCTCCCCTCCCCTCCAGGCAGAGAGCAACTAGGAGCAATGAAGAGTGGCAGGATCACTCTTTTTGCGTCAGTGATGGGGTGCTGTCATTATTGTCCAAATACCGACTCAGATCTCGGAAGCTGGGTGTCTCAGACCAATCAAATTCAACGACAGCGCCACAATCTGTGTGCCTTATCCGAGAACTCCTCAGGACAAGCGTGCCATTAAACTGTGACGAGAAAAGCGGAGCTGACATCCACACTCTCTAATTCCTCTCAAGAGGCCCATGCTGTTATTCAAGTCTGGACTCTGATACAGCCATGTCTGACCACTATCCTGCAATCCCACTAATATGTGTCAAGAAGTCAGACAGTGAACGCGACAACAATTAGTCAAACTGAAGCTTGTGTCAGACTAACAGTGGGTTTAACAAATTAGTTTAGATTCAACATAGTTTGCAGAATATAACAATCAACAGCAGCCACAATTTAAATTTCTCTCATGTTTCCAAAGATGGAAAAAAGGTCATAGTCAAGCTATGGCCAAGAAAAACATATGAAATTTGTGTTTATCTTTAAGTTAAACACAAATTAAGTTTAATTTAAGTTTATCTTTAAGCCAATTGTAGCAAGTAAATTGCCATTAATTTTATCCATAGAGTTTTCTAAATAGTGTTTCAAGATTTGCTAACGGCTAACTATGTGGTAACTATGGCTAAGACCTACAATTCTGAAAACAATTATAAGAAAGTATAAAAATATAAATAAAAATTTGTCATATTTTTTTATTTAAATACATTTTTGGGTTTAAGCAGAATGTACCTCTTATTAACAGCGACCAGTTTGGCCACTTGCCTAAGTGCTGGGACCCAGAGGGGGTGACAAAGGAGGGACACAGGTGAGGCAGAGAGAGCAGCTCAGCAATTTTCAGAAATACTCTTTAAAGATTAAGTGTCCAAAGCAGAGCCTTATAATGATCTGACTTTAAACCTGAACAAACCACTGCTCTTTATAGTATAGACTGCAGTCCCTTAAGGTGGCTTCAGAAAACGGCAACACTCAAGGATCAATTGATCCATTTTTACACTCAGGAAGGTAGCAATTATCTTTTTTAAAATTTCAGTATTAAAAACTGGAAATATCTTAATGGAACTAGGTGAATACTTTTGATATAAAGGCAACAAAAACTTAGTTCAATTTGATTAAATAAATCAGTATTTCTCAGGGTGGTCTGTGAAGTGCTTTACAGTTTTAGAATGTGTATGACTGAGTCAACATTGGGTAGGTTATAAGCACTGTGGCAAAGGTACAGTCCTATTACAAACAGGTTTGAATCTGGTGCTATAGGAAAAACTTTTTTTTTTTAGTCGTTACTTGGTGTAAAAAGTCACTGAAATAAAAGAAACAAAAATTAAGTGTCTATTGAGATTGAACCTTTATGACGGTTAATTTGCTTTATAATAATGTCAACGTTTTATGTATACTTTGCACCTCACTGTTTGAAAGACTTATACACTTTATTTTATTTTAAATAGCAGTATCAAATAAGGCCGATGGAGTCTAAAGATTTGAGTCTCATTAGACAAATGTTTTTAATTGTGCGCCTGCAGCTTGTGTGTGCAGATGTTAATCTGTGGTCCAGTCAGGACTGTGTCGAACTGAGTGTTTGTGTGGTTGTCACGGTGATGAGACTGACAGGATTCTTTTGGACAGTTCAGCAGCGTCGCCCGCCCACCATGAGCAGATCTACTGTGACAGACGCACACAGAGCACTTCTGCTCGGGTCACCTTGTACAGAACCCCAGCACTTGGGGCCCAATGCTCAGGTTAATATGAAAAATGATGTGGATGATAGACAGAAAAGGTTTTGATATAAGCACATTTTTGAAGATCATTTTTATTGCTCTAAAACAGGGGTGTCCAAACTTTTTTCATCAAGGGCCACATATGTAAACACAAATGAAGCAGAGGGCCGATCGAGGGCCGTAGACTGGTGCTCAATACAGTAAATAATTGAAATATGTGCATATTTAATTCATTAAAATGAGTATAGACTGATGGCGCATTTTAAGATCCTTAAAATCACACACTAAGGTAGATTTTTTTGAAAACTTGCAGTAAAAAGTTAATTTTTAACTGATGCAAGGTAATTTGGGCCAATTCACCTGGAAGCCTGAGGGCCAAGAAAAAATTGTCTGGGGGCCACATTTGGCCCACAGGCCATAGGTTGGACATGCCTGCTCTAAAAAAAATTCAGCATTCCACAAAACAGTATCTGTCCAGGAGCGGTTTAAGGTAGAAATCTCACATTCCACAAACTAATTACTACACTTTTGAGTTGTCTTTTGTCTTTTATTAGTGAATACTCAGATTAAGTATGGCCTGTGGAAGCAATACTCCATTGTGTGTATGTTTATGTTAATGCTGTCCCACTATTTTTACCATCTATATTATTGTTGTCTGTAGTGGCTAAGACTTAGGTCTGGTCTGTGGCTGCCTAGACACACAGCTCATGACATTATGTCAATGCTTGTAGTAGCTACACTGTGGTCACTTTTAAAGCATGTCAGTGGCTCAAGAGAAAAGAGTGAAACATGAGGCTAACAACAAAAGAGTGAAAGGAGTCCATTAGAAAGAGCAGAAAAGACCAGAATCAGTGAGGCAGCGCAGAGAGCCTTGGAGCAAGAGCCACTGAAACAGCTGGCACGCAGCAGATTAGCTCAGACGCAACTCCTTCCTTATTCACCATTTGAGTTTATTTCTTTTTAAAGATTTAAAAATGAGACTTTCATCTTGTGCCACATGGGTTTGTAGGTTGGTGGATTGTGCGGTCTCACGTAAACATAAAGTCCCAGTTTATTCTCATGCCAAAAACAATATTTAGTTCACCAAAAGAGGTGAATGTCTGTGCTTCCACAAACAAGCTGTGGCGCATGCAAATGTATGGGTAATTAACTTCTAAAGTAGTTACTTACAACAATATGAAATATGATAAAGGCATAAGCTTTAGTTAAACACTCAGTAGTGTTTTAGCAACACAAAAATCAAAGGCCCAGTCAGTGGCCACCATGTAGCCATAAAAGTCCAATTTGAGAGCAATTTTCCCTCATAAAAGAACAGGAAACACGAGTGACACTAACATCTCAACAGACAAAGGTTTCATGAGTAATGAGCCTGATGGATTATGGAATGACTGTAGGCTCTGTGTGCACAGCAGGGGGCAGTTTGAAAGGACAAGATCTGAGAAAAAAAGATTAAAGCCACCTGGAAAGAGAAATGAAATTTGAAGATTTTAATGGAACAAAACAATGATTTGAATCTAAATGAAGACATTAACATACCAGGTAGAATTATGACATTTCACCAGTTATGAAATGAAATTGTTACATCAGTTCAGTATAATAGATATAAAAGATACCCTGCACTTTGTAAATCAAATACATATTAATAAATCAAATAGATGTATTCATGAATAAAAGTGTGCATGTTAAACTGGATTATATGCATCTGTGAATGTTTCAGCTGAGTCATACTGGTGAACACACAGACTGAAATTATTTTTTTGTAATTACCAAATATCAGTGCTACTCAAACATGCAGCATATCAATAATGTGGCTGGTTGTAACAATAGTACACAGGGCCAAGGCAGATTAACACAAGCCTTTTGTGCTCACCTCCTACACAGCCTCTAGTCTCCTTCCCTCCTTCTCGTCTCCTAGCTCCTATCTTTCCCCTCCCTTCTCTATGGAGCATTGCACTGGATTAGTCACACTCTGAAACTAGGGCTCATCTCCATAACGCTGGATTTTGGTTCAATCCTAAAAGTGAACAAGGACCAAGGAGGCACCTACAAAGCTGGAACAGTTTTATTGTCTAGTCACGGCCCCACCGCTCTGAGTGGCTGCTTTACCTGGGTTCACCTGTGTTTAGCCAATACGCTGGGTATGTCTGTAATGTCTGTAATCTAAAGGGATATGAATCAACACTCTGGGTGGTTAACAGGTCATAATATTATATGAATTCTTCAAAAATCATAGCAGTATCATTCATTTATCAAAAATTACAGATTACAATGTAGAGTGTCAAAATCTGACATATGAATATTGTGTAGCAATTATATATACTAAAAACAATGTTGGCATAAGGGGACACACAACACAGAGTGATTTTAAATTGTAATTTTGAGACTATCAATTTCAGGATCTAAAATTGAAATTATTCTAAAATAGGCACATGTAGGTTTTCTGTAACAGAAACATCTCCCCGTTTTAAAACATGACCCAAACACTGTCTGAACCTAGTGAGTCATGGCGATAATACTTTAGCAGAGTTTGAGTATGAGGTGTGCACTAACATATATATATATATATATATATATATATATATATATATATATATATATATATATATATATATATAATATATAATACACACACACACACACACACACACACACACACACACACACACATATATATATACATACATACATATATATATACATATATATATATATACACACACACATATATATATATATACATATATATATATATATATATATATGTATATGTATATACACACACACACACACACACACACACATACATATATTTATATTTTTATATTTATATTTCTGCTCCTGTTGTCAAAACCCATTTTTATTCGAACACCGTATTTTATGCGTGCATTTTATTTTAGCATAATCTATATATTTATATATAATCTATATTTTAGCATAATCTGTGTATTAATATGTATTTTTTATTTAATTATTATGTATTGTTTTATTTTGCACAATATACCCAAAGTATTCATAGCTTGTGAATTTTGTTCAGTGACAGTAAAACTGATAAAACAACTGATAAAACTTGTTTCTGATTTAAGCTAAATTTGATTTAGGAAATAGGAAGCTACTGACTGCACATACCTGAAATGTACATGTAGCCACCATACACTGTCCCAGCGTGTCCATAGTGTGGCTCATTCATTTTGGCAACATATGTCCATTCGTTTGTCCTGGGGTTGTAGCACTCCACAGTAGCTTAAAGAAAGAGAAGAGGACAGCATTATCAGAAAGTAGGTCGAGACACAGCTAAGGAGGACAAACAGCGGCAAATAAGGACTTGGAGGGTCTCAGCGTGGGAGCTAACACACACTCTAAAACTACCCCACCAGGCGCACAGAGCTGAGCAGCACAGGAAATAAGGAGATGGGGATAGAGATGGGGGTACCCTTTATCTTTGAGCCCCGGTGAATCCCTTCACCTAATCCAGGAAACACAGGCGCCAGGATACACAGGAGTGATGTTCACTGGGAATAATTGGTGGATACATGACCCCTCGACAAGCACAGAGCACCTCCAAGTTCTTCAGGTTTGTGTGTTCAGACAAGGAAAGACTTTTGAAATTACTATGAGCTTGCTGCTTTTAGGGATAGTTAAAGCAAGTTATTAAAAATGTGTTGTATTTGTTACGCTAAATTAAATTTCTAAATTGATATCCATATTTTTACAATAAAAAAATTTTAAACATGCAACTTTTGTTATTTTTCTGTACTATAATAATATTTGAGCTGTAGAGGTTTGAATAAATACCCTTTAAGACTCAAAAGTGTTTCAATCTGCATTTTTTTAATTGAAGTTCATGGTTTTTAGTTATATTGTACAAGTACAATATTTCTTTTTACTGGTATAAATCCATTTTATAGTTGATCATCTATATTAAGTTCTGCAATGTATGGCATTTCAGACTTTGTGATAGAGACAAGCTAGACATAATACAACATTTTGGTATTTAAAAGTAGGATGTCCCATTCAGGGCTGTAAGCAGGTCCTGGGACAGCTGGGTAAATTGCACCGGGGAAAAGAGCTGCTCTTTGCTTGCTCAACAACTCTCATCAAAGTCACCTTGAGGAGGCACATAATCTAGCAGATGCTGAACGGCTTGTATTACAGATAAGACAGTGAATTATATGCTGAGGGAGTAATAATATGGGCAAATGCAGGCACACCCTAGTTCAAGTATATCTAGTTAAATAGCTGGTTAAATAAAACCTAAAATAAAAGAAAGCAGATCTTGTGGTGACTATGTAATAAAATCTTTAAATACACCTTTAATGATTCAAAGTCTGTGCATTTTTTATAATCTTGGCTATGAGACTAAACAATAAAACCCCACCCATTATACACCCTGCCCAGAATAAACAAACACAATACAGGGGCAGGGCACTTGCAAAAAAAAGAAACAACTTCAAGGCAAAACCACACACAGCAGCATAGGCAGTAAAGCTAAAAACAGACAGTTGTGTAGACAGCCAATGAATGGGACTCATGTATTTTGGTCTAATTATAACCCAGAGGACCAGACTGTGTCCATGGCTCTTACTCACTGGTTTAAATACTAGGTGGCACCACACTGTGGGTCACTACTACAGAGCCCACACCAGCTACACAGCAGCACCAAACAAATACCTTCTAAATATATTCAACAGCAGTAAAGTGAAAAGCTTCACTTCAGTGTTAAGTTTGAATGGAATAAAATGGCCAGTCATCATCACTATTGTGGTACAATTCAAAAGGACAAACTTAGCTACAGTCTGGCTCCATAATTTTTTTAATTTGTGAGAATACGTAAAAATACATGTCTTATAGTAAATTTAATATATTTAATGAATTTCAATAGATGCTTTTGAAAATGTTGCAATGGCCCTCATGGCTGTCTTTTTCAGTATTCTTTGGGAGGGATATTTTCTAACAAATTAATTCAATTAATTATGTAGTTTCCATAGACCGTATATATGAGTGGACATAGCTAAAGCGTTAGCCTCCGTGTGCCAAATAGGAAGTTCACCAGGAGGTTCTTCTGGCTCCAATTGACTTACATTAGGATCTTGTCGCCCCTCTCTCTAACTGCTGCAGTGAGCCTCGTCATTTTGGTCTTAAAACGTTTGTATTAACCTGCTCTACATGATCCCGATTTTTTTTTTTTTCACTATTTTGTCCGTCAAAAAATCCTATTCATAACAGAGCCTTTCTACAGATTTGCGAGCCTTGTTTGAGCGGCGCCGAACGCTATGGGTGACGTCACAATCACTTAGTCCACTTCTTTTATACAGTCTATGGTAGTTTCTTATATCAGTAGAAACGTAAAAGAAAACATTTGAATTAATAAATTGAAAATATAAAAGAAAGATAAAGATAGAAAAAAACCCAAAAAACTCATGGTCAAAAATGACAATGAACAAAGAGGAAACTTTAGGGATTGATACATGTTGGGACCACATAAGATAATATTGTATTAAATATACTTTAGTTTTTGTGTCATTTGACTTCCCATTACCACAGCTGTATAATTATTTCCCTGCCATTTCTTGACATTTAAACAAGTATTAACGTCTCATACAATATTAATAGAAGGCTTTGAGGGATGAGTCAAAAACAAATGAGCTGGGTGTTGCCTTACCAAGCTCTCCTGCGGCGTTCCTCCCCCCCACGGCGTAGAGGTGTCCCTTCAGTGCACTGAGGTGGAAGAAGGTGCGCTTCTCGTTAAGGCATGCCACCTGCATCCACTTGTTGTAACGCGGATCGTAGCGGAACACCGTGTCCACCGCCGTCTTGCCTTTGGTGTCATAGTTACTTTGGCCGCCCACTACGTACAAGAAGTTCCCAATCACCGCAATGCCATGCTGGTACCGTGGCGCGTCCATGGGTGCAAGGGCTTTCCACTCGTGAGCCTTTTCGTCAAATAATCGCAGCTCTTTGCTCACGACCAACTGTTGACGCAAGACCCCGCCCAAAGTTACCAGGTGGGCGCTGTCTGATCGGATGGCTGTCCTTTCTGACTGCATGACTGGCTGCATGTAGGGCATCATTTGGTAGTTGCTAGCTTCCAGCAGGAGGTTGACACAAGTGTTATCTGTGCGCATAAAGTCTACAGTCTGAACATGGTTGATGAGCTCTTGTGGGTTCATGAGGGGGAATCGGATGTTCTTCATGAGTTTGGAGGCGCAGTCCATTCTGCCATCCTCAAAGCGCAACCAGCGGCACGCAGCTTTGAACAGGTCCAATTCGCTGCAGTGTTTTAAGCTGTTGCTCGACAATACAAAAGCCAAGCGTTCAAAAGGTAACTTCACAAACTCTCCCGTGCCAAGCAACGAAGGGAAGTTTTTCAAAATGAAGTTGTTGACGTATTTGTCCACTTCGGTGAGGTTGTAAGTGTTGGCGATGCGTCCGACCTCCACACAGTTGTCAAGAGAGACCTGTAAAATAAAGGTATCGTGTCAAAAATGTCTAATTCTGAACTTAATATTTTCAAATGAGATGCAGGCACAGAGGAACAAGAGCATACATTAAACACATTTTAAAAGGAGTGATAATTCTCAAGCTAAGAACCAATTTCCATAAATGTTTTCACATCACACATGAAATACCAGTATTAAGAAAGAACATTTTGAACAATTTTGGTTTGATTTTGTTTTTTTGCATAAACCAATGTTGAACATTTAGCAGTTACTTCCTTCCACATTCTTTCTCCATTTTAATTACAGTTTAATATTGAAGCTGGAAAAATTTAATAGAAATATATGGCCTGTAATATTTGGGCAGACAAGACATGAAATTCCAAATGAACACTTTAAAGCCCAAATAAACACGTCTTAGTTGTGTTCCAAAAAAATTGATTTGAAAGGTATATATATTTTTGTTTATTTTCAAGTAATTTTATATTAGAATATTGGGACTACAGTATAAATATTGTCAACTTACCTTTAGTAAGTAAGAAACACAAAGAAAACTGTACATGTAGGACAATTCATTGACTGGTAAAAACACACTAATACAGCACAACAAATGATAAAACAAAAAAGACAATTGATGTCAAGAATCAAGATTAATTGGTTAATCAATAATTATGATAATCTAGGCTACATTATAAAAGGTAAGAACTTTTAAAAGTTAATTATTTCAGGTCTATATATACAAAAAATATCACATCTTGTTTTATACAATGATAGTGAATTGAGTATTTCACCGTTTGTTCATAGTGTCAGTTATGGTGAGTAGTTGTTAAACTGTGATCTCTTTTCTCACAGAAATCGTTACACTAAGAATGTAATATCAGGGCATCCTAACATAAATTTGCTTTGTTTTTCTTTCATGTGATGTCCTTACCCCGGATATAAGAAAAACCTTGCAGAAATCCAGCACGGGGAGGATTTGGAGAAAGCTAGCCGCCTCCAGCGTGTCCTGCAGATTTTCCATGTTCAGCGACAACTTTGCCGTGTAGATAAAGTCAATGATCTTCTTCAGTCCTATTCGGTTCACCCCGTGGAGCTTGATGCACATTAAATCCTGTTCTTTCATCCCACCTGTGAGAACAAAGAGTTGAGAATAAGATCATTTTTAAAAGTAGTAGTGGAATCGTCCATAATCGTAGTGGTTTGCTCGCAGCCACTTCCATCTGATTTCAAACGGCACAGAGTAAAACAAGTTACATAACTGAACAAACTCAATTAGGCTCACACCGAAAACACACACATTTGTTTTATAAGTACAAGTGTTGTAGTTGTGCAGGGCTTAATGAAAACACCAACAATGTTTGACTATCCGTGTAAGACAATCTATGTTCTAAACTAAACACTATAGTTCGGGTAAGTTTAAAGGTGCACTACATAACTTTTATGGTGGAGGATCTGCCACCAACAGAGCAAAGCACATAATTGCTTTGCTTGGAATGTTCCACAGAACAGCATTAAACTTATCCGTTCATTTTAACTGTAAGCAGCATCGCCTCTCCACAGATTTAAACAGCATGGAAATAGATCAATTTAATGTTATACTACACTTTACATATTTTATATTTGAGCATGATTCTCTAAATTCAAGGTAAAACAATAAAACATTAAATCATTTCTGCATCTGATTTCTAAAATGAGTCTATCTAAAGGTAGAGCCAATCAAAGGTAGTTAACAAGGCTCTCCTAGACACACAGCATGTAAAAAAAAATCTAAACTCAGGAATATAAAATACATTATTGCTCTCTGACTGAAAAACAGCACAGCATTTTTTGTTCTTAATTTGATAAAATATCTCAATTGTATTGAAATGTCTGCAAAGTTTTGAGAGTGTCAGTAGGTTTATCAGGTAGCAACTGGCAACCTATATGAATTATAGATACACACAACACAGCAGTGGAGGCCATTGGGCTAAAAGTCACTGTGGGTGGTTCTCATGAGGCAAACAACAGTGACAGAACTAGGACTGTGTTAAAGCACTGCAACATTCATGAACACATATATAATGCTTGCTTTAGAATACAATTCATGTTATGTGCAACTAAATTAAGGTTAAAACATGCAAAAGCCTTTATGTACCCTTATATGTTGTATAATGAGTGAGCATTGATCTAATTAGCACTGACCTGTAAACATGGCTTTGAAATAGTCGGAGGAGGAGGCCATCATGGCGCGGTGCACAGGGAACGCTTCATCTCCGTCTCCTGCCACCAAAGTCACGTCACAGAGTAGGCCCTCTATCCTCAGCTGGTCGAATCCCTGAGGAGCAAAAGCACAGGGGGGCAAAAGAACAGGGAGGCAAATGTGTTAGCACTGTGTCAGCTTTTCAGACTTTTTTTTCCCGTTTTTTGGCCTCTCTTTCATCTGGTTTAGTAAAGAAAACATTTTCAAAAAAGGTAACACATGCACTGAGCGATATACGGATATATAATAATAGTTAAAATCCATTGTATCACAACCTATTCTACTAACATAATGGAATAAATTTTTTGACTAAGAACTGTGCTAAATCAATAAGCAATTAATTTCACACCCAGAACCATAATTAGCATCAGGTCCAAAAGAGAACAAAAAGTAAAGAGAAGTCATGCAAAAGGTATTATCCAAGGTAAAGCTATACCATCAAGTTAATAGCTTAAGTATCCACAAAGGAATAGTTTATAATTAAAATAAAGAACGCAGTCCTTTTACTTTGATCAATAAAGTTTATGCTGGTGAGAAGGATCCAGCTGTTTGCCTGTGATGGATCCAGCCCCAGCGACTCTTTGGAGAGTCATCTTCAGCACATTTGTTCACAGTTTAAGTGTGGCTTGTGCCAAAGGCAGTCTACACTATGATAAGTGCTATGAGACTTTTGTTTTCCCTCTAGCATCCTCACCTACATCCTGTCCTTTTAACACATCAGGTTGGGATTGTATTTTACAGCTAAAATCTACCCTATTATTTGTAATGCCAGTTATACCACAATGATTTATTATTTGAGTGGTAGAGCAACTAAATATTATTATACCTTTAAGATTTAAAAGTTGCACTATGTTACTTTTCCGCTCGTCTCCACTGATATGTAATTGTTTTGCCTATAAATGTTCTGCACACAGTATGGCATTAAACTTCTATCTGCATGGAGACAAGAAGGTGACGCCCTGTCATGGTTAAAATGCATGTTTTTCAGTATTTTTTGTCCAAGCGGACAGAAGCAGGACATACCTCAGTCTGTAATGTAAATAAAAAGTTACCCATGATTATTATAAGACTATGATCAATATGACGTCCATACACTAGTGTACAAACCTCCAATGTAATTACAGCACATTGTGTAAATATTGCTTTAAATGATAAGACAGTATTTGTTAATTAGCCCTGTGTGATTAGGTACACAAGCTAACTGTGTCTGCGGGGCAAGGGTTCAGCCGCCCTAGAAAATCATTATCATTCATTACCTCGCAGTGACTCCAAATGATTAATGAAGAGAAAATGGGGCCAGCGCCCATTTATTTCCACAGAGAGAGTGACACAAGCAGACACTGCAGCAGCCACGCAGTACAACGGCACAACCAGCTGATGTAAACTTTATGCAAATGAGTAGCAAACCAGGCCTGGTGTGGATAACAGATCGATTTGGGTTTCAATATCACGCACTATAAAAATCAGCTGTTGTGTTATATATATTCTGCTTATGCATACACTCACTCAAACATTAGCATTTTTATAAGCCATTTGTGATACTTATTTGTAGCTTTTATGAAAGAAAGGGCATTTCTTGTAGAAGGTGAATAATTTTAGTATAAACACATTTTTCTAAAAGTAGTTCATCAAATAAACCTTAAAAGATAATAGAGTGGTTTGAACTTAAGTCAGCAAGATATAATTTTCATGTTATGGATCAAATCCCAAAAGAATACAGCAAAGAGTAAGTAAGATGTTTGATAATATATTCAGTCTATAATGTATGCTGCCACAGGGCTTTGACATTATTTTAACTCGGAGGTAAAAGTGAAAAAGAGCTAGTTTCCTGATACGTGTTAAGCATAGATTAAGTTGGTGGAACTTTGAATCATTAAAAAAAAAATGAAGCAAGGAGACGAGAATCTTAATGACAGTCTCCTAAGTCCCCAGGTACCAAATGTGGACAGATCCATAAAACAAGACATTAATGTACTCAGAAAGGATATTAAATTATTGCTTTTATGCAGCAGTTTTAGGATTTACCAGATCAGAAAATCTAGCAAACAAAAGGAAGACACTGGGTGATGATGATATGTTTTTGCTAAACTCAATCAGTCATGCCAAACTGTGCCTGTAAATGTCATGGTTGCAGTTCATGTATCGAACAAATGTGAAAAGACTTAAAAATGTATCACAAAATGGTAGACATAAACAATATCCTTTTATTTATCTGATCTTTCTATAGATATTTGACAGTTCTTTTGTTATAGATGATATACTAGGTGATTATTAAGACAATATATCACACACATCGAGTAAGACCTTAAAGAAGACATTGTGATTGTGTCTGCTATATGATAATCTATGGACACCCGTGGATCATTATGTTATAATTTGCACATTTTAAAAATCGTCGTATTCATCTAAAATGTCTTAATAAGAAGAAACAAGTCCACTGACTGCCAGGTTCGAAAACTGCAGTGCCCAATGGGAGCTGACGTGGTCATAAACATAATCACAACAAAGACGAATACAGATGTCAGCACCTTTGATAAACAGCTGCACATCACGCTAGCGAGTAGTTTTCATTTGTACCAAAATTACTATAAGACACTGCCAAATCCTACTTGTACCAGTGATAAAGAAAATGAAACTGGACAACAAAGCAAGCACAGAGCAGTGGGTGTATGACGATGGTGGTGAAAATGTAGGTTGATCAGCATTTGGCATCTGGAAAATAATCATTAAAAGATGGTGCAAACATGCATGAATGACTCCAAATACAACTTCAGGTAAATGAGAAGAGGAACCAACTTAGTTAAAAGCTCTCAAAAGTCAAAGTTGGTTTTATAGCTACATTTGTTACTGGTTTAATTCTAGCTCCTTTTGAAATTTACTTAAAAATATCTCTAATAATGATCTGAACACTGACCTGAAGAACCACAGAGCTGTGCGTGTTGCTCGTGAAGAAGCGTGTGTTGCCGGTTTTGGATGCCTGCAAATGAGCAGAGATGCCCATATCGCCATAGCCCAGAGCCACTTTCATGTGTGCGTCGTCGTCCTCCACAAGGGATCTACAAAGAGAAAATAAAGAAGTTTTATTCAAGGAAAAGTCTTCAAAAACATGTGCATTGGTCTAATTTTAGCCACCAGAAGTAGGACAAGGAAGTTTTCAAAGTGACACTGCTTAAAGGACATATGGGGCAGTGGTAGCCTAATTGTTGCAAAAATTGTCATCTAAAGGTTGCAAGACTCAGGAGTTTTGTTATCATACTTAGTGTAACATTTTCCATAGTGCCTTGAGCAAATATCTTTTTGAAGGCTTCTTGTCCAGATGCTTTGCATAGACATTACAATAGGTAGTAAGAATAGTACAGGCAGTGCTTCAAGATACAACATTACTGCTGCACTAAGAGAAAACAAACTACACAGTCACCTTGCACAACTATTAAAAAAGTAAAACAAAAAAAAAGCCTCCTATGATTCAAGGCACACTGCTATGTTAATCCTGTGCTTCAAGACAATACAAACAAAATATGTTGAGGATTAAGTTGAATTTGGATCTTGTGCATGTGATGTAATGTGGTGTAATCTGCTCGCTGCTGTGGAGGGAGTGTGGAGAGACGAGAAAGGGAATCAAGCCTCCAGGGGGCGTCCTCTTGGGATGTGAGAACATTTAGTGCCCACTAAAACTACATCAGGCTGAAGCTCATTCTGCTCGAAATGATAAGTTTGAAAGTAAAGGCAGCCAAGCAGTTGTAATTTGTTAAAACAGTCCCCAAACATCTCATAAGTAAACACAGCACGCTAATAAATAGAAGGCTATTCTGCTCCTCTGAGTCTCCTGTCAAATGTCCTGCATATTCAAGCAAAAACAACTGCTCACCTTGGACAGACCAGATCGAGAATACTCAACAAATAAAACAAGCAAGCTTACAATCTACACTCTATAGGGTCTAGATTATGGAAAACAAATGCTCTGTAATAACTGCGATACCATTTTAATCTCCTGACTGACAATATACAGTATTATTTTTGCAATACTTTGCCAATTCATACCACAGGACTGGAAACAGACCATGGGAATTTAGGGTAGTCAGCCAGAACACAGGCTGTGAAGAGGGCCTATATTGTAACTAGAGCTTTAATAATATATGGTATAGCTAGGCCAAATTAATAAAGATTCAATAACAGATAGAGATTCTGACTGTGGCTTTAGAGGTCTACAAAAATCTATATTATATCAAAGGTCTGTTTGAATCAATGTGGGTTTCAAAAATTTACAACTGTCAGCACAGCGCTGTGTGAAGATGACAGAGCAGTCAGCGGGCGTGGCATTTGAGTTACATGAAATTAATTTTCCATTTCCAATGAGGATGGGCCCTGTTTTGATAAAATATTCTTTTTACAAAAACAGTCTGGCTCAGCATTGCAGTAGATTTGTGCCTTTAAACGGTCTAAAGAGCTGGCAGCAGTCGTCAGATGTGGAGACTAATGGGTTTGGGGATGTTTTATGTAATGAAGCAAGTCTGAGAACACACACGATTTTTGATGTGGTAAGCAAAACTGTTTAGGTCATTTTCTATTCATTTTATTGCCCATATGAACTTTTCAAATATATTAAATCTGATGTGAAATGGCATGTGTAATCACTTTATTGACCTGGGATTAGATGTTAATGAGAGATTTTTAGAGAGGTACTGCATTATGGGGGGTACTTCTGCAAGACCTTCCCAATGCTACTCTGAAATGAAGAAAACGGTACTTTTACAACCAGCTCTTAGATGTCCTTAGTCCCTCCCTATTCTGAGATTTAGTGGTATAAAAATCAGCTTTTAACTTTCTCAGTGGAAAAAAATCAAAATATTCTAATTCTCAAATTATGCCAATTGGTGCAGAATTTCAGCAATGTGACTCCTCAATCTGATTTCCTGAACGTTAAATCAATATAGTAAATATGGTGACAGGCTTAACAACAAATACTGAGAAACAAGGAATTGACCAATGACATAGGACACCAACTTTGAGACAGACTTTGGAGCGGCGGGTATGGAGCTACACATGGATTGCCTGACCAGCCAGTCCCTCCTACATTCAGTTTGAATGAAGAGGGTCCTATAATCAGAACATACGGCATGGCAAATAACATTCATAACTGGAGATGGTCCAGTTACAGCCAGTACTTTTGAGCATGTGTCTCTCAAATGCAAAAGACTAAATATGCAGCTTATTTTGCCTGAGATAAATAAGAGTTTGATGCTTCAATTGTTGATTCTGCAGAAATCTGCGTTATTTTCCAGTCCTCTGTATAATTTTTATTTTAATTTTTTTACTCATAAGCCACCATGTTTGTTTTGATACTAACAGAAGTCGTGTTTTTCTAATTGGTAAATCCAGCTGTCAGTCACATATGTTTTTGTGAAGTTTTGTCAAAGTGTGTGGTTTTGGTTGGCCAGGCAAATACAGGGACACATGGCTATTGACCAGGAGACTCAGGACTAGTCCAGAGGATGGGTGAAGGACTATGATCACACATGTACGGGTACGTTTACCCCATCAGGTGGTAAGTCGGACAGGCAGCCAGCAGCGAGTGGGTTGTCCAAACCACAAAGGAGTATTGGTGGCTGCCATGATGAAAAAACAACAAAACAAAAAAGAAGAAGAAAAAAGTATCTGACTGAAGTGAGTCTGAAGAGGGTTAGCTTTAGAAAGTGCCAATGCTGTTTGAACACTGGCTATAATGCAACATTTATTTAGGACGCATAAGAGACTGCCACTGAGTTATGGCAGCAAGTTATGGCTTACTTGAATAATTACACCTTAATAAACATATCCATTATACATTTTACACTGTATTATATGAGAGTGTTTCATGATTGTTTAAACAATTGTGCATTGAGACAGTAGGAGACCGTTCATGTGCGTATACTAAAAGAAGGAAACTGTGACATTGTGTCAAAACAGATTGAAAATTTTATACATAGATTAGAACTGTTAATGTTTTAATCATATTTTACTTTTACTCATGAGAGAGCGTCTAATGTAAGAAGAAAAGATGGACAAAAAACTAATTGTTTATAAGTCAGATAAGATTCTCCTTTTAATTAAAATAGTCTGCTAATATTTAGTACTAATTTGACAACATATAATTAAGGCTTGGAATCCAAGCTTTGGATAAGTGTTTGCATCTTTTCATGACTTGTAAACTATTAAATCAATAGTATAAATAATGCCAGAATTGCAAGACTATCTGCATCTCAATACCCCAGGATTTGATGAGGACAAAAAAAAAAAAAATGTGTACGGAGATGAGGAAGAGTGGCTGAAAATAAGTGATGAAGTACAGCGGTGACAGTGGATGCAGTGTCTTGATGTCAGAGTACAGCTTAGAAACGTCGCTCCAGCGCTGACAGTTTGAGGGAGCTGAAGTCAACGCTGCTTCTTCGCTGACACGGGAAGGGTCTTAAAAGATTAAAAAGAGTAGAGCTGTGTGCCGTTTCCTCATGTTTAGCCGTGCATTGATTGAAAGTTCATAAATTGCATCCATTCTGGAGCTCAAGACGGCAAAGACTGCAGGTCATGCTTTGTGAAGTTAAACCATGCTGCATGACAGTTTCTGCATTCACTTAAATCAATTCAATGAGGGTTTGAAAATATATCTTCTTTGAAATTACTGATATTTCATTAAGTCTATGTGCAATGTCAAAAGGTTTTATGGCACACAGGTTAAAAAGTCCAATGATGACAGATTAGGACTGTTGCCATAGCGATTTACAATGTATTTTAGGAATGGTGAAAAGTCCTCAAAATGTTGCCTATACAGGAAGATGAAACCCATAAATACTCTGATTTAATCTGGAAATCCTAATGAAAATTAAACATGCTCTACACTCAGACTATTTCATTCATTACTGTGGAATTTAAGATTGTGATTAAACATTTGTGGTGTTTTACAGTATGCAGGTGAGCTGAGGCAATGGTAGGACGAGTTCAGACAATGAGGCAAGAACACAAAAAGAACATTTTCAACTATGTGAACGAGGCTCCACATTTGAGAGAGATATTCAAACAAGAGAACACAAGAAGGAGATGAGTGCAGAGGACAGACAAAGCCAAAAGATGCAGTGATTTGATAAAGGCCAGTTTTAACATGCTCAGTGTGGGGCACCAGGTAAAGACAGAGGAGAAATGCAGCTTGGTTTTACAATAAAAACAAGTCTTGACGATTTGTGATGCTTCCAATCATCAATCACACAACATTCAAACATAATCTAACTGAATTAAGTGTCTTGCCCACACAATGACAGTTTGTGCTGGTTGTTATTAAACCAACAACTTTCTGTTTATGATCAGCTATCTACCACCTGAGTCACAGCCATGTAACTTCATTTTCTTGAGCTAGTTACAATAAAGCGCTAATTTGACAGTTTGAAAGAAAAAATAAAGAAATTGCGATTGTATTTAAAAAAAAAAAAAAAGTAAGATTCTGTTAAGAGTGCACGTTTTAAATATGTCCAACTACATTAACATTACAGTGGAGACTAGAATATGAACTGCTAAACTAAATGAAATTCCATGCATTTCAGAACATGTTTGTAGATGTCGCAAAACTAGGGTTAGCAGTAGGTTTTAATTTGAGCGCGATATATTGTAGTACAGCTTCAACATCCTTTATACTTTGCGGTTTGTATCTAGGAGAGACACTTTTGTAAGATTCATAAAGCAAACAGCGTGTACGGTGGTCACAGGTGAAGAGCAGTTCTCTGTGGTAATGATGCTTGACTGTACTGCCCTCCTGTGTAGTCCTGTCTCCGTCTGACCAGGTGTGACTAATGTCTAAAGAGCCCATTACTGATGAGGTCTCCTGACATTTTAAAAGCCACTGTAGCTCCACACGTCCACACCAATCTATGATAAACACTCAAATCACCACTAATAATCTTTAAACAGGTGAGGAGGCTGGTTAAAGTATCCATAATGCAATCATGGCCATCTTGAATTTCAATCATCTAATAATCAAAGAGTGGATTAGGGTCAAGGTATACATCCAAAGGTGCTTGACTAGTTTGTGAAA